CACATCAGGCCCACCCCCCTCTTCTCGCCTGCTCGCATTCGGACCCACCCGCGCCTGCCCATTCTCTCTCAACACCTCCCCTGCACCTGTGCCTCGAAATTCTCCCTTATCCCTCGTCCCTCCTTCACGTGCGTTCTCCTTCCCCCTCTTCCCCGCAGTTCCACACTCCATCCTCTCCCCCACTGCCCTCCCCTCAACCTCCTTCCGCCTGCCCTCCTCTTTCTCGCCTCTTCCCTCCTCCTTCTCTCCTCTTTCCACCATGCCCCTTCTCTGCGCTTCCCCCTTTTCCTCTGCCACCTCCCCCTTTTTCTCCGCCTCCTCCCCTCGCCTCTCCGCCTCGTCCAAATCCTCTTCCAGTACACTCAGCACGCCACCCGCCACACCCGCATGCCCCACCAGCTCCGCCACATACTGCCGAAGATCGCCGTCCATGCGCGCCAGCAGCGGCCCCACATCGCTCTCCCCCCTCCCCCGACTGCCACGCCCCGGCGTTCTGCTCCCACTCGCTCCTACCCCTCCCCCTGCCCCAGTCACACCAGTGCTCCTCCTGGCAGTAGAAGAAGCACCAGCAGAAGCAGCGGCGGCAGCAGCAGAGGCAGCTTCAACGGTGAGCATGAGGCGCTGCATGGTGTTGGCCTGGCGGCGCACGCCCCTCACATGGATGCTCAGGTCCCTCAGCGCGCGCTGCCACTCGTGCAACTCCCCATACCGCTCCGCCACCCCCACCGCCCCCCTCCCCATCCCCTCCTCTCCCTCCCCTCCTCTCTCTCCCGCTCTCGCCCACCCGTCACTCCCCCGCGCACCAGCACCATTCATCCCCCCCTCACCTCCTGCCCCACCACCCGCAGCGTTCCCCTCGACTGCACCTGCCTCCTGTGCCTCGTTATAAGCAGCTCTGCTAAGAGCGGCGTCAACAGCGGTGACGTGGGCGGCCACCTCCCGGAGGTCGTCGCGGTGGGCTGCGAGCTCCTCTGCCAGCAGCGCCAGCCACGGCTCCTCCACGCATGACACGCCTATGGCCCACATGTCCCGCCCTTCCTGCTTGAACGGGAGGAGGGTAGAGGGAGAGGGGCAAAGAGAGAGAGGCGAGAGAGGGAGGGAGGGATTGGCCCACATGCTACCACTGTGTGGGGAGGGATTGCACAACGAGGGAGGCATGGGGCTAGCAGCAGAAGGAGCGGGTGACCCCACCCGCCGCCCCCTCTCAACCCTCCACACCCACCTGCCGCCCATCCCACGCCCACCTGCCGCCCGTCCCACGCCCACCTGCCGCCCGGCCCACGCCCACCTGCCGCCCGGCCCACGCCCACCTGCCGCCCGTCCCACGCCCACCTGCCGCCCGGCCCACGCCCACCTGCCGCCCGGCCCACGCCCACCTGCTGCCCGTCCCACGCCCACCTGCCGCCCGGCCCATGCCCACCTGCCGCCCGTCCCACGCCCACCTGCCGCCCGTCCCACGCCCACCTGCCGCCCATTCCCTGCCCACCTGCCGCCCATTCCCTGCCCACCTGCAGCGCCTTCTGGTGGTCCGCCATGCGCAGCCGCAGACTCCTCACCACGTCCCGTGCCAGCTCAGCAGCGCGCCTCCCCAGCCGCAAATCCCACGACGCCACCTCATCGCCAGCGCCTTTCATCGCCTCACACGCCTCCAGGATCTCTCTTTCTGCCCTCCCCTCCTTACTCTCCCTCCCCCTCCCCTTCGCCTCCTCCCCTCTCTCCATTCCCCTCCCGGTCCCTCTCCCCCCCACCCCTCCACTCAACCCTTCTCCCCTCATCCATCCTACGCTCTCCTCCTCCCCGTCTCCCACCCCTCCACCCTCACTAATCGACGATGCTCCACTCAGGGAAACCGAACACGTGTCAGCAGCTGATAGGTCCTGCCGCCTCAGCCACTGCTGAATCTCATCCACAGCCCACCTCTGCGTGCCCACCACGCGCCTCTGCTCGCCCAGATCCCTTATAAGCTTCTTCACTACAGTCTCCTCCATCCACCCACACTTGAAGCACAGCGCCTTCAGCACCCTCACCACCACGGTTTCTCTCTCCACCTGCTGCAGCACACGCAATAATTCCCTGTCCACCTGCTCCCTGCTCCCTTCCCGCAGCACAACCCCCTGCTGCTTCTCCCGCAGTTGGGAGAGCAGCGAGGAAACAGACGCACGCAGCTGCTGCAGCAGCCGCATCTGCTCTGTCGCCTGCCCGCACACTGTCGCCAGCTGGGCCTGTCCCTGCTTGCCAGCTGGCACGAACCTCAGCTGCTGGATCTCGGCCTGGATGGCCCGAGCCTGCTTGGCAGCTTCGGGGAGTGTGGGGGCGGCCTGGGCTGCTAGGTCCGCCAGGCAGTCCGCGAGGGAAAGGGAGGCCTGGAAAGAAAGGGGTGGCATGGGGCATGTGGGATGGGAGCACAGGTGAGGCGTGTGAGTGCACGTGCACGGATGTGAATTGGGTTCCCACAGTCTCGATAGAAGCACACCTGTTTGAGTGTGAAGTGCAGGTCTCGATAGAAGCACACCTGTTTGAGCGTGAAGTGCAGGTCTCGATAGAAGCACACCTGTTTGAGCGTGAAGTGCAGGTCTCGATAGAAGCTGGAGACACAGAGGCGACTGGAGCGCCCACAGCGTTGAATCACCGTGCTCAACCGCCTCAAACACCTGCCAGCATGGCCGCATGAATCCGCATGCGCGACAGGATCGTGGATGCGTGGATTGGAGCATGTATGACAGGTGCGTGAATCGGAGGGTGGATGACGGCATCATTGCAGCAACCCCAGCAGTGGTATTCTCAGCAACCCCGTCATTGTCCCGATCATCAGGAATCAAGTCTGCCAGGATTGTTAACAGATTCCAGCAAGGGACGGCAGGCGAGCGCACCTCTCGAGTCGCAGCAGGATGGCGTCGATGGCGACCTGCTGTCGACCCATCTGCACCGCCGCCAACCACTGCCGCATGTCCTGCGCGCACCGACGAGAGAAAGGTGAGAGGAGTGTAGGGGCACACAGTTGAATACAGGCGAGCCGAGGAAGGGACGGCTGGATCGGATGTTTTCTATTCGCTGATATCAACTGACGCTTCTTGACATTCGCTCGCATCCGCTCACGTTCACTGCTTTTCACTGACAGAGGCTATACGCCGAGTGTAGCCTTGGCGACGAAATGTTGCACATAAGGACCTGAAACAATTCCCCTTTGAGTGGTGCGCGACGAGAGGTGCGGCTGAACGACGAAAGTGAAAGAAACCCGGCTTGAGGGCTGACGAGCAACTGTAAGAAGTGGTCAACGGATCGACGACAGCGCTACACAAATGTGTAGCGCAGCGACGACCGAACGATGAGCTGAAAATGCGGTGTAAGAATTACCGACTAAAATCGTTGTGAAGCGAGTAAGAACGACGATTAACATACGACCAGGCGGTACTAGAAGCGGTGGAATATAGATCTGTACATCTGCATCTTGATGTAGGAGGTACCCCGATCGACGGTTGATTTTACACAGCGGTCGGGGAATCGACGGCTGACCTTGAGCAGTGGGCGGAGGATGCCGAGGCGGTCGCTGAGCAGCAGGCAGTTCTCGAGCTGCACCTTGGTAGTAGGAGGTGGTAAGATCGACGGCTATGATTCAACACGGTCGGAGGATCGACGGCTGACCTTGAGCAGCGGGCGGAGGATGCCGAGGCGGTCGCTGAGCAGCAGGCAGTTCTCGAGCTGCACCTTGGCGGCGCGCCCGGCCTCCTCGATCTCCACCACCAGCGCCAGCTGTCGATCCACCGCGTCCTCCGCCATCGCGCGCTGCTGATGCTTGTCCGGTCCAACTTCTGTCGCGCTCGGTTCAGCTGCTGTTGTGCTCGGTTCAGCACCTGGTGCATTAGTTAAAACCGGAGTCCCAAACAGGCCAAAACTGCCTCAAACTTCCTAACTTTGGTTGGGTGTGACCCAGTAGATACTGACTCAAACTTCCTAACTTCGAAAACCTTCGGGAAATCGGTCTATTCAGTAATTCGCTAATGCCTGAACACAAATCCTGCTCCCGTCAGTGCCTATCACTACAACACTTTCTGAACTGAAAGAATATTTGTCGGATCTGCGCGTACTTCTGTTCGGTTCTTTGCCTACCTATCACCAATAGCATCCACCCAGTCATTCGAGATCGCCGGCTACTGATCCACCCAGCTATTCTCGTTGCCGCTTACCGGTCCAGCACAGTTTAGTACCCATCCGTGTAAGTAACACCTCCCTATCTATTCGCTTCACCAACGGCTGACGGCCGAGCGCGCGACGACGTAACTGCTGTAAGCGCTTTCTTAGCAAATAGGATTTCTATTGTCTCTCATCCGTCCTGTAGTGGTCCGAAAGCAGGAATCGCCTAGCCCAGGAACATCGTCGGGCATTGTTGGCCTGTCCGGGTCGTACGTCTCGTGTACAATTCAGGCGATGCGGAGTTCTCAACGGGGGATGGAATGGATGGAAGGCACAGATGAGCCGCCAGCGAACGACCACAGGTCCACCACAGTCGAGCAGGTTGAACGGAAGCTTGGCACAGAGAGCTCTGCAATCTGGTTCAGTGCGTTACATATCGCTGGTGCCTGGTGGAAACCGTGTGCCGAATGAACCCGAGACCGCGGTTTGTGCCAGGTCTGTACTGACATGTTTTGAATTTCGAAGAGTGGCGGTAAATATGCGTCTTGACCATACCCGATAGCTAGAATGGTGTTGGACTTTAGAAAGAGGCAAGCCCAATACTTCAAGGAATGTGGAAACTACTCTATCCTTTATCCATGAAGATCAGATCAGATCAGACGTTTCACAAAAGTTATTTCTGTTGAAGTCAACTTCATTTTTCCCGTGAATGACATTGCATTATGCACGGCGACCAGCCGTTGATAATCAGTAATTGCACCACCTGATGCTCGCAATATGTCATCCTCTTGACAATGTTTGATTGTTTAGCAGTGGTGACCCACAATTCAGAGTCAAGCTACACCACACTCATCACGCACTCGAGCGGATCATCTTCTGAAGGCGCTTGCGTCGCCCCTCCCCTTCTCCAGGAAGTGTGAGCGGCGGCGAATGCTGCTCTCTATGGACATGCCCGTGCCCGCTGCTGCCTGCAGGGCAGCGTCCCCTGGCGCCCCACTGCCCGCCCCATACATCTCCTTCTGCGCCTCCTGCTCACCCAGCCACAACCACAACCATGCTCTCTTATGTTGTCACTGGAAATGTAGACAAAAAGCCATCACAACTTGGTAGAGGATGTAAACGGAAAGACGGAACAAAAAACCGCAACAAACAAGCGAGTGCAAGCCTACCCGGAGGAAGGCCCCGCGGGGGGCAGCAGCATCACTCTTCTGCTCCTCGCGGGCATCTCGCTGCGCCGCCCACTGGATGCGCTCCCGCCTCTCCCCCTCCACTGCCTCCGCGTTTTCCTCCATCTCCGCCAGCCGCCGCCGCCTCTCCTCCTCCGTCATCTTCTGCCGCCCTTGCCGCCCTCCCCCCGGCCTATTCTGGCTGTGACTGCCAGGGCCCTCCTCTCTCCTGCCCGTGCCTGCAGCACAACCAGACTCGAGGGCAGCAGCAGCAGCAGCAGCAGCAGTAGGTGAGGGTGCACGTGCAGGTGGTGGTGCAGGTGGGGCGGTGCGAGGAGGGGAGGGCGCCATGCGGTGGAAGGAGAGGCCGTAGAGAGGCGCTGCTCTGCGCTCCTCCCCATCGCTGCCGTCTGACGGGCTGTCGTGCCTCTGCCTCGTGCCTCCCAAAGGGCTGTCATGCCTCTGCCTCGCTCCTCCTGCCCTAGCTGCCACATCACCAGTCCTCTCCCTACCCTCCCGTGCTATCTGCGCTGCACTCCTGCCACCACCTCCCCCGCCTTTCCCACCCTCAGCACCATCACTCTTCCCCTCATTCTCTGAAGGGCTGTCATGCCTCTGCCTCGCGCCCCTCACTGCCTCTACTGCCTCACCTCTCCTTCCCTCCCCCCCTTCTCTCCCTCTCTCCCTCTTCCCTCTCCCTCCTTCACTCACATCCCTTGTTTTCCCTTCCTCTCCCTCCTGTGAAAGCACTGCTTCTCGTCCCGACTTCACTCGTCTCCCTTGCTCTTCCATCTCGCCGCTCTTCTTCCCACTGGCTCAGTCTCATCCTTATCCCTCCTCTCCCTCGCATCACGACCCCCTCTCTCCTCTGCATTTCCCCTCTCACTTCTCCCCCTTCCATCTCGACTTTCCCTGCCATACCTGCCCCTCACGTCCCCCCCTTCCCTCTCACTCCTCTCCCTGCCATACCCCTCCCTCTCGTCCCCTCCTGCCCTCTCGATCCTCTCCCTCACATACCTCTCTTTCTCACTCCTACCCTGAGCATCCCACTCCCTCTCACCTCTCCCGTCCCGCTCACCTCTCGCTTCCCTCTCACCTCTCCCTTCCCTCTCACCTCTCCCTTCCCTCTCACCTCTCCCTTCCCTCTCACCTCTCCCTTCCCTCTCACCTCTCCCTTCCCTCTCACTTCTCCCTTCCCTCTCACCTCTCCTTTCCCTATCATCTCTCCCTCCCCTCTCACGACTCTCCTCCTCATCCCTCCTCCCACCACCACCAGCCCTAAACTCCTCCCTTACTCGCCTTTCCCCTTCTCTACTCACCCCTCTCCCACGCTCCATCCTCCCCTCCTCATCATCCCTACCACGCCTCTCCTCCCTGCCACCCCAATCACTCCTCCTCTCCCTTCCTTCGAACTTCCCGCCCCTGCCATCTAAGTCCCTGTTCGCTCTCTCACCATCCCAACCATGCTTTCTTTCCCCCTCACCTGCATCATCCCCTCTACCACCCACCTCCGGCCCTTTCTCCTTCCCTCCCTGCACCATCCTCCCCTGTTCCATCCCACCCTGCCCCAGCCCGGCCTGTCTTTTCCCGTCCCCTCCCCCTCTGCCTCCACCACGCCTTTCCTCCCCACTCTGCTCACTACCACTGCCATAGCTGTCGCTGCTGCTGCTTTCACTCTCACTGTCGCTCTGCTTCCTTCGCTTCTTCCTCTCCCTCCTCGCCCGCCGCTCCTCCTTACGCTTCCTCTTCCTCTCCTTCTTCTCCCTCTTCCTCTCCTTCTTGCTTTGCGTCTTTCCCTTCACAGCCTCAGCCTGTGAAGGAAAAAAAGAGACAGAAAAAAAGTGAGTGAGCAGTCAGCAGCATGCAAGGCGCTCAAAGCACCACTTTAAGAACGAACCTCCCTCCAGAACCCCACTTTTCCTGCCCCTCTTCTCACATCACCTGTTCTCTCACCAGCTGCATCCTACCTGTTGTGCTGCCGTCCCCACCATCCCCACCATTCTCAAATCCCCCCTTCTCTCCCCCTCACCTGAGCGCGGATCATCTGCATCTTGACGGGGTTGTTGCAGATGCGAGTGAGCGCCTCTTTCTCCCATCGTACCTCTGCATCCTACCTGGGGCACAACACCACTGCAGTAACCCTTTCGTCAACCCATCCCCGCCATCCCCCCCTTCTCCCTGCCTCACCTGAGCGCGGATCATCTGCATCTTAACGGGGTTGTTGCGGATGCGAGTCAGTGCCTCCTGCTCACGCTGTCGGATGAGCACGAGAGGGTCCGAATGCAGCCGCCGCCACATCTCGTTCGCACTCACCACTGGCGGTCCCGCCTGCTCCTCCCCCTGTTCCCCCTCGAACAGAGAACCGGGAACAGTGGAGGCCTGCAGTACGAGATGAGGAGGTTGGGAGGGGTGGTGCGGGAAAGAGGGTAGGGGGGCAGAAGGGGGAGAGGGAACGGGGGAGGGTTGGGACGGGGATGGAATGCGGGTGAGCGCCTCCTGCTCGCGCTGGCGGATGAGCACGAGCGGGTGTGAGTGCCCCCTGCTCGTGCTGCTGTGCTTTGGACGTCTCAAGTGGCGGATGAGCACGAGAGGGTCCGAGTGCAGGCGTCACCACATCTCGTTCGCACTCACCACTGGCGGTCCCACCTGCTCCTCCCCTTCGTCCGTGGCGAAGAGAGAGCCGGGGATAGTGGACGCCTGGGGTACGGGAGGAAGGGGGGAGGGGGAGGAAGGGTCGGAAGTGGGAAGGGGCGCGGATGTGAGTGAGTGCTTCCCGCCTGCTCCTCCCCTTCGTCCGCTGCGAAGAGAGAGCCGGGGAAAGTGGAGGCCTTGGGTGCGGGGAGGAGGGGAGGGGGGAAGGGGAGAAAGAGGGAAGGCGGGAGGAGCGGGGAGAGGGAAGGGAAGTGGAGGGGGGAGTGGACCGGATGTGAGTGAGTGAGCGCCTCCTGCTCACACTGCCGTATCATGAGACGTCTCAAATGCAGGATGAGCGCAAGTGCCGTGCCGGTCCCAGTGCAAGCAACCGCCAGCCCGCCCGCCGCCACATCTCCTTCGCACTCACTCACTCACTACTGTTGCGCTGCGCTCCCCCCCGGCTCGCTGCTTTATCCCCCCCCGTCCGCGGATAACAGGGAGCTGGGGAGAATGGACGCCTGCAGTGCGGGAGGTGGGGGGGAGGGGGAAGTCGGGGGGTCAGGGCGGGAGAGACGAGGAGGGATGAGAAGAGGAGGAGGGGAGGATGAGTGGATGCTAAGGGAGGGACATTTGAGGACAGTTGAGACAAGTGTTGTTGATGGGGATGGGGGCATAGGGAGCGCGCCTTGGAGGTGGGCAGGGGATGGGGGGATGGGGGGAAGGGGGAAGGGGGGATGGGGACCGCACCTTGGAGATGGGCGGGGGATGGGGGGAAGGGGGAAGTGAGGATGGGGACCGCACCTTGGAGATGGGCGGGGGAGCGCCTGTGTGAGCGGAGGCGGAGAAGTCCACCTTGTGCGACATGAGCTCGTCCGTGGACGCCCCTCCCATGCTGCCCATGCCGCCCATGCCCCCTCCCTCCATGCCCTTGCCGGTCGACAGCCCTGACTCATACAGGAAGTCCACTCGCTGCTGCAGCCTGTGGGGGGGCGGGTCGGGGGGGGGAGGGGGGGTTCAAGGGCTAGCATCGGGAGGCCCGACGGGCCGAAGCATCATTGCCCCCTCCATTCCCTTGCCGGTTGACAGCCCTGACTCAATACAGAAAGTCCACCCGCTGCTGCAGCCTGCGGGGTGCGGCGGGGAGGGTGGGGCAGGCAGGGCAGGGGGGTTCAAGTGAAAGGGTATTGCCGGGCCCTGGTTTGATTCATGCCCTTGCCGGTCGACAGCCCTGACTCATACAGAAACTCCACCCGCTGCTGCAGCCTGCGGGGTGCGGCGGGGAGGGCGGGGCAGGCAGGGCAGGGGGGTTCAAGTGAAAGGGTATTGCCGGGCCCTGGTTTGATTCATGCCCTTGCCGGTCGACAGCCCTGACTCATACAGAAACTCCACCCGCTACTGCAGCCTGTGAGCCGGGCGGGCGGGGCGGACGGGGAGAGTGGGGAGGGCGGAGAGGGCGGGAAGGGCGGGGAGGGCGGGGAGGGCGGGGAGAGCGGGGGAGGGCGGGGAGGGCGGGAAGGGCGGGGAGAGCGGGGGAGGGCGGGGAGGGCGGGATCGAAGGAGAGGTGGGATACGCGAGGTCAAGGGTCTTCTCAAGACACAAGCCAGGGGCGGCGTGAGGCCCGACGGCCCGTCGCATCGTAGCCACGCTACGGAGATTACTTACTCGACGGATAGGAAAGTAGAGTAGTTTGCAGAGAATTATAATTAAAAAAAAAACTGCAGGTACTCACGGGACGAGCCCCTTATAAAAAATTCTGCGGGCACTTACGGGACGAGCCCCGCCTGCTCGCGCAGGCGCTGGAACTCCTCCGCCTCGCGCTCGTCCGCGATCTGCTTGCGCAACTCGTCCACCTTCTTGCGCTCGTCCGCCTCGCGCTGCTCCGCCTTCCACACCTTCTCCACGTTGCGAAGACTCCCCGTGTGCCACCCCTTCTTGTTCAAAAACTTGAGCGCCATCGCGGCCGATTCGCGGGTGGATTAAAATGCGGGAAATGAGGTGAGGCGGAGTTAAGATGGCGCGCTAGGCGAGGTACGCACAGAATACGAGGCGTAGGGCCGGGGCGAAGACTGATGACCTTATGAAGGAGGTCTGGGAGAAAGGTTCAGTCAGCTACAAGCACCTCGTGTGGGCTCTCATGAGTCAGATACCCGCTATAGAGATAGGTACTCGGCTCGATAAGCGAAGAGACTCACCAGGCGAAGTAAGTACTTGTAGCACACATGTATCTGCAGTATTTGTACCCAGCGCCCTCCAGAATAATTCCTCACAATCAGATAAATAGATTTATGCTTGCTTTGAGCTCCACAAACAAGGCAAGATAAAATAACATGCGGTTTGTGGATTTGTGTATATTCTCTCTGTTGGAGTACCGGTATGAACGGAATTGACTTCAGCATTCCCGTAGGTGCAGCTGCCTGTACTGCACCCGTCACTATCGAAGCAGCACCAGCAGCAGTATCGGATCAGCACGTAATAAGGGCAGGAAGGTCAACAGTCGCAAAGGTCAACTGTTGCGACTGTTGAACATCTGGACCGAATGACTCACTAGCGAGCAATGGCAATAGGCGCAACCGTCTGTACGGTTACACGCAGCGATTCGGTAACAAGAAGAAGAGCAATGGTTGGAGTCACTGTAGAAACTGCCTGTAAAACAGTTAGAATAAGGGAATGTACCTCTCAGAATACATGGCTAGTTAGATCTAATTATTGTGTGTAATTTTATGCTTTAATCAATCTTGTCATTTACATCCTCAATTCACAAGGTTCCTACCACAAAGACTTCCGCTTCCAAATCTCTCTAAGGCAATCCTATCCTATCCAAGATCCTTACTCCAACATGGTATGAGAGCTAGTTTTGATTATAGGAACTGCTAAGTCTTCATTCAAGACAACCTTCATTATAACTTATCTTTACATCAAGGGCAAGCATCATGCCAGGCGCAGACTGTGGCGAGACTGGAGACAATCCAGAGCTTCCCTCCACCAATGTCGCCTCTGGGACGACAACCGTGGATACAACACTTCTCGAGCAGCTCATAACACGCATCGCCGCACCGGAGAGCCATCGGCCAATGAGCATCGACGGCTCTAGCTACGCCCGAAGACCTCCCGATCCACAAGGAGCTCAGTCCGAGCGATCCTTCACATTCGACAATCGCGGAGCTCAAGGATTTGCACAATCACAACAGGCGCATTTCGAGACGATGGCGTCAATGCAGAACAAGTTCCTCACAACGTCAAAGCTCAGGACAACCAAGCCCTTGGACGGGAAAGATTTCTACACTTGGAGTTTCGAGTTTGAACTCCTGGCTCAAGGCGCACATATCTGGATGTACTACGACGGATCCTACGCATTCCCAGTCAACGGCTCACCTCAAGAGAAGGCACAATATTACAACGAGTCGCTGATGGCCTTCACCGTCTTAATCCGGAACCTGGCGCCTGAAGAACAACTAAGCATTCGCCCCTTCAAAAACGAGTGGCCGCCCGCGCAGCAGTCGTGGGAGCACCTGCGCACCTGCCATATGGCAACGGATTCGGTGACACTTAGTCGCCTTCTTAACCAGCTGAACAACGTAAAGATGTTCCCCAGAGAGAAGGCCGGGCCATACATCAACTGCTGCATAAACCTGAGAGATCAATTCAGGAAAAGCGGCGGCAACTTCCCTGACGACATGTTCGTCACTATCATCCTCGCTGGTTTAAGCCCGGAATGGCGCCACTGCAAGTCACTCCTTCGCACCCAAGGAACGCTCAGCGAAACCCTCTGTGCCTCGCTTCTTGCCGAACAACATGATATTGACCTCTACAACGAGAGAGACAACAAGAAGGAGAATACTGTGTTTTACACAAACGCGCAAGCATCATCGGACAAGAAAAGACTCTTCTGCAAGTACTGCAAGAAGATAGGACATACGATCCAGGAATGCTGGAAGCTGAACGACAACAATAATCATGGTCAAAAGCAACAACAAGGAGGAGCGGCTCACCAGCAGCCCGTAGGAGCCTCGGCGCGCAATCAGACCGTCTCTCCGCCTGCCGTTGCCAGCACCTCTCAGGCTCCCGCTCGCATGGTGCGACACGGACCACCGCGGCCAAATCGTCACTACCAGTTCTTCCGGATCTGGGAAGATATGTTCGCAGACCCACCTCCAGAAAGACCCGAAGGTTCGGTCGATGAGCTGACCCCACCTACGATGAGCTGACGGTTGGCCGCATGCAGTACGATTGGCAAGCACCACCGTGGATTCAAGAATCGCCACCTACACGCATTGCATACGACGACGAAAGTTACGAATACGAAAATGACCACGACATGGATCATCACGCAACTCCGAAGCTTGCAAATCCCGCCCAAACCAAGAAAGACGTCAACAAATGGTACATGGACAGTTGTTGCGGTCAGCATATGGTGTCGTCGAATGTCTTCATTCTCACCAGCGAGGGACTCTTCAATGTGATCAAAATCACCGTCGCCAACAACCAGACGATCTATGCGAGAAGCCGCGGGCAGATCCAGCTGGAGTCGAACGACACCGGTTACTGTATCGACATCAGCGACGTCCTGGTGGTGCCGGAGCTTCAGTTCAATCTCTTGTCCTTTGACCAGCTGATAAAGTGCGGTGTCGAGCTACACACAACAGAGAACGAGCTTCACTTAATATACGAAGGGAATGTTTTCGGAAAGCCGAAAAGCGAAAACGGAGTGTTCGTGCTCGACTTCGAGTCACCCAAGACTTCGGGCGACAATCAACACATCATAGTTCTTGATCCGCCCGGTCACCCGTCACCGCCGACTTGGAGCCACCCAGAGGAAACCAATTATCAACAACCAGGCCTTGACAGAACCTTCCGCGCTCTTACCATACCCGTCTCCTCAACCACGAATCCTGCGGACAGAGGACCACAAGCAGTGGAGGAAGGTGAAGAAATTACATTGGAAACAGCCACACCGAAATCGGAGGATTTGCGCGAGCAATTTGGCCCCGCGTTCAACAACCTACCGGCTGGAACACGACTGAAGGCTGGGACGCGGTGGATGTCCGATGGGTCATGGAGAACACCGAGCTGGGAGAAGTCGTTGCAGCCAAAACTGGATGGGGAAACATCACCGGAGAAGCCGTTGCAGCCGAAACTGGATGGAGAAACGTCGCCAGAGGACCTGCAGCAGAAGAAGCAGAGGAAGCAGAAGAACCAGAAGTTATTGAGGAGGCACTGGAAGCAGAAGAGGAAGAATCACTAACGGAGTATGGGCCTCACCTCATCCCCATCACGACAGATGGAAGAGACTACCTCCGCGTCGAGACAGGGGAAGCACCGATTGGCGATACTGACTTCGAAGAGGGAGAAGTCACGCAGCCGGAGGATCGTCGTCAACGAGTTACACTGACACCTCCTGAAGGTCCACTGGAGCTTCCCGTGACGATCGACACCTCCACCATCGGCGACACCAGCGGCGAGTACCACGGAGCACGATTCGAGACACTTCACGCGGCAGCAGTTCAAGTCCTCGTGCCGGAAGAACCTGCGGACGAAGTGGGAAAAGAAACCGAATAGAAGATATTAGCACGAGAGAAGGAGCTCTACGCGCGCACAAAAGGATACCGCGCCAACCACGACATCTGGCATCAACGGTTCGGGCACCCATCAATCGAAGTGCTCAACAAATGCATCAACGCAAAAGTTTTTGCGGAAGACGCACTGTTGCTGCCGGATGGAAAATTGTTGAAACCAAGAACCGACTTACCCAACTGCACCGTCTGCCCGACAGCTGCGATGCGTCACACACCCTTCACCGAGAAGATACCTGGAACCGAGCAATACAAACCACTAGACAAAGTCTACAGCGACTTCCTAGTTCTCACGGAAAAAGGGGTTGGAGGAAAACAATACACCCTTATCTTCATCGACACCAGTACCCGTTTCGTCTGGGCCGTGAAAGTCAGCAACCGTTACCTCGCCTATCACTGCTTCTATCAGTGGCTCAACATGGCTGAGATTGAGAGCGAGGGGAAGAAGCTGAAATCCTTCCAAACCGACGGAGCACTGTAGTACCAGACAGATGAGTTCATGTCAAAATGTTGTATAGCTTATATTGTGTAGGCTATAGTGGGGTAGCCCATAAGGGGTACAACCCAATTAGGGTTAGTACTTGTACCCAACTCAGTGCTAGTACTGTCATTCTCGTTCATTCTCTTGACATGGTTTCAGAGCAGGTCCTCCGCTAGGACCGTTTTTGTTTTGCCCACCACTGCACTGCTCCTAGCGAACCTCGTGTCGCCCCTTGGCCCGTCGCCCCTTGGCCCGTCGCCCCTAGGCCCGACACTCCTAGCCCGGCCCGTAGGCCCTAGCCAGAGCGCCCCTAGGCCCGCCGTCCCGGCACCTTGCCCCTAGCCCGCGCGCCCCGGCCCGTCGACCCCTAGCCCGCGCGCCCGGCCTCGTGGACCTCTAGCCCGCGCGCCCGGCCCCGTGGACCCCTAGCCCGCGCCCCCACTGGGCAGAGCTGCTTAGGTCTGGTGTTGCTATCTTTGACCTAGACTATGATATTATCCTTGCTGCTAGGTATGCTTTGTCTGCAAGTGCTGAGGGTGACTGTTACCGGTGTGTGCCGCCTGACGCTGCTGCTCTAGGTGCTAGTGAGTCTGTTCTCCCTGGTACTGCACCTGCTGAGGCCTTACACACCTTCACGCAGGACTCAGGTGCCTCACGCTGTTTCTTTCGTGACAGCACCACCCTCACTCCTCTCCCTGCACCTGTCCCGGTCAGACTGGCTGACCCCTCCGGAGGCCCGGTCGTTGCCCGTTCCTCCACTGTCCTCCCGTGTCCGGCGGATCCGTCCGGCTCACTGTCAAGTCTTCACCTCCCCTCGTTCTCTACGAACTTGGTGAGTACCGCTGCCCTTCAGGATGCGATGGTCACTACCACCACTACTGGGGGTCAGCGTGTGTCGATCTGC